TAGAATAGAATAGAATAGAATAGAATAGAATAGAATAGAATAGAATAGAATAGAATAGAATAGAATAACAGAGTTGAAAGGGACCTTGGAAGTCTTCTAGTCCAACCCCTTACTTAGGCAGGTCCCTATCAAGTGGCCTTTAAGCCAGCATTGCACAACTTTTTCTCTGGACACAAATCCTTTTCGTTGTATATAATGTATCCATGTCAAGTCTTAACATGATCAGCCTATTTAGGTGAGTATCTTTCTAGCAATATGAGAAATCCTCCTAATTATATAACAAAGGATTCCTTCCCTGATTAGCCACCTCTATCTGCACTGTTAAATAAGCAGAAACTGTGAATGCAGCAGGGCACCTGACTGCAGAGCGCTCATTTTTTTGGAAACCTGGCTAATTGCTTCCCCAGAATCCTTAGGAAGGGATGGGCACTCTTTCACTTGTTTCAGGCTAGGAACAAAGGCTGGCTTTCCCTACCTGAGTTGATTTCTAAAGGGCTCAGGGCGATGATATGTTATATCCTTTTGGAATAAACTTTATTTCTGATTCAAGCATCTGCCTGTGCATTTTAAGGAGATTCCTGGCTCAGAAACAAAGCTGATTTCTTTCAATTCCTAGAAGACATATGGTGGACTCAAGCTATCTGGGCCACCTGGTATATTTTTAAAAGGCGCATATGTCGCCCATGTTCACTTGACCTCACAGCCAAACATCCAGTCAGCGTCTGAGGTACCCAGTGGCGTATCAACCATTAAGCAGACTAAGCACATGCTTAGGGCATCAGGCCCAAAGAGGGCACCACAAAGTTGAGAATATGGCTTCATTTGTATAGTATGTACAAAGGGGGGGCACTGTTAGGGATAACATTGTTTTACCCTAACTGTTTTGGGTAAAGATAATAAAATGATGAATCATGGTTTGTCAGATAAAGTGTATGTGACTTTAAGCTAAAGGAATGTAATTAAGGGTGCAGCTGTAAAAGTACAATATAAGCAGCAAGGCACTCTCTGGCTCTTACTGGCTGGCTTATTGAAGACTGCGTTCTTGCTGGATCGGGGAGGAGAAGAAGTGTTGGATTACTTTGAAGATATTTTTGGACAGATTTATTATATGTGTACTGACACTGGCTATTCGACACGGACTTTGCAATTAGAGTATCCTCGACAAGACTTGACTGAATTTGGTATATGACTAATGGACTGTTTATAATGACTATGCTATAATTCTTAAATGGAATAAATTATAATTTTGATAGCACAAGCGTATCTGTATTTTTACTGCGTGTTAACTAGAAAACTTATCTCACACATTTACCTGTCTTCCTATCTGACTTCGCTGCACATTCTGTTTAGTTTGTTTTCCTTAACACCCGTTGGGGACTCCAGGCTTAACAGGCACCAAGATTTGTCAGCGCTTAAGGCACCAGCGAGCCTTCAACTGCCACCGGAGGTACCACCCACCTTTGCTGTTGAGGTAACCTAAACTTGTTACGTAGAGTGAAATCTCCCTACCTCTCTCGCTGCCGTAATTTCTGAGAAAGTCACCCGGGGAAGCTTTCCAGATAACACAGAGTCTTATTCAACCTGTGAGGATTGTGAAAGAACGATGGAGTTTTGAACCAGCTTTGCAAAGGAAACCTCTCCCCTCTGCAATCAGATCGAATTACAATATAATTATACTAGGATAATAAGTAGGAAGCAAATGCAAACAAAAGCTGAATTCAATCTCAAAGGATAATTGTTATATTTTGTCCCATCAGAGGGACGACCTGCTCTGGATGATCACATTCATCCTAAGCGAGCAGGTCTATAACTTGGAAATACTCTCCCTAAATTCTCAGGAGGGCGGTATTAAATTCACCTTCTCTCCTTGGATGGGGTTAAAGTAGTGTCTGTTGCCAGGTTTTACCCCTGAAAAAAATGACACCATGCTTTTTTAACCATCCTGACACAATTGAAAGTCTGTTGTTCCTCCACCAAGGAAACTCCAAATAACTGCCCTGTAACGGTACCCCAGAAGCAGTAAAAGCAATCGCAGTATTTATCACATTCACACAACCAGTCACCTGTAGCACTAAAATAATATTATCTAAAGAAATGAAATTCCATTATATTTTGCAACATCTCCCCTGAATTCCCACTCTTTTTGCACAACTGACGACACATCAACTTCATACAATCTATCAGTCTCCAAGGGCTTTTAAGGAGAGTTCCCATAATTTGTAATTGCCCACAAGGAATGTTGAATTACGAGCAAAGGACCAAGACCGCTGATAAGCAAGGTATATCACAACCATATATTTTGATGCGTATTTAATATTTTTTTGTTAAGGTACCGGTTTAATACAAGTTAGCATTGTATCATTATAAAAGCGATATCAGGTTTATCTTTTGCACGAAGCTGTTTTATCATTGAGCAACTTTCAGCAGAAATTCAGTACCGGGTAAGCAGAAAGCAAACAGATATATTCAAGTTGAGAACAACTAATGTCAGGCTATACACACAGTTGGAAAGAAACGGGTATTAGCAAGTCATAAAGTTTATCTGCATGTAGAAACCCCCATTGCAATTCTGGAAGGCAGGTTCAAATATGCCAAGGGACCCCCACGCGACCTGGAATCCCGTGAGAAGCACCAACCTGTATCCTAAAGTTGCCTTCTTAGATAAATCTTTTCAGATCAGAGTCTATCAAATGTGAAGAAAAGGGTGGGAGCAACTAACCTCTATGGAAGGTTGTGTGCATCCATGGAAATGGAAGGACTTGACATCATAAGAAACAATCAGTGGAACCTTCCCTACTTTTGTTTGACGCATCTAGAACATCAGAACATTGGAAGAGCTCTTAAGACTACGTTAGCTGAAGCCCTTTTTTGCAACCTGGAATGGCAGCTAGGCGGACAGAAAGATATTTGCCCTGTCCCTCGCTCAACCTCCAACAGCTAATTAGGGGATGGGGG